TTTTGGGTATAATTTACTTCATAATAGAATATGACGACTAATTTTAGTAATAGTGAAGAATATACAGTTTAAGCGAATAGGACACATTGTTCCTCGGTTCCACTCATCTTTTGATATTTTCATTTCTATTAGTTTCACATAACTTTGAATGCCATTATCTTGTTTTAATGCTTCTTCGCTATGCTGTCAATTTACTAAGCTGATATAGTAACTTATTATTTCTGTTATTTATCCTTATCAGTAATAAAATGTGTATCACTTACAACGAAATTTCGTATTTGAGTAGACAACAGCGTGAAGTTTATCTACTGAGGTTTGATCGATTCGTTAGATGTAGCACACATTAAGTATTGTTGTCTTATTCTCGTTGAATGCTATTCTATATTTAATGAAATTATAGCTATTAGCGATAATTGGTAGGGGTATTATTAGCGAACATGGGCAGATTAAGTATCAATACAGAAACCGTAGCGTCAGTTGAATAATTATGTTGTACTTAATAGCAATCGATTGTAGTAAAATTCTGTTACGAATAAAAACATACCTTTGTCAAATGACGCATAATGTCAATCGGTTGTGTCTGCTATGTTTGAAGAGATTACGAGTTCACCTAATCTGAGAACGGAACGAAAACTCAGTGACACAATGACTGATAAGCTAGATATTCCGACGCGTCCCAGCCCAGCTAACTAGAGAGAGAAATCCAACTTGGCAAGACGGAGATGTATTCCACAAGCAACCACGACAGTGTGCCTTGTCATCAACACAAATAATTAGTATCTTATGTAATGAAATCACTTCGTGTTTCAGTAACAAGTTATTTTGAAAAACACGTCTATTACCTCGTTTCTTATTGAGCAGCAGAATATGAGAGAACAAAGATATAACTGCTTATAAAGATTTTTAAGGAACCCGAAATTATAATAGTAAAAACGGAAAAGTAGCTGATGTTCATTGATCTAACAAACTAACAAGTAGTATTATTCGAATGACGTGGTAACACGAATTATAAATTAGACACTGACAATATCCTACCCCAACAGCTTCAATACAACCTGAAATATTAAGTTTAAGTAAACCAATCACTATCGGGTAAACGTTTAAATCGACCATTTTATCAATTATATGGTTAAAAATTAACTCTTGATAGTATTAATAGCACGTAAATTTATTGTACTTCATAATTATTCAAACACATAAACATTGGTACAAGGAGGCACCAAATACAAGTCACTTGATTTGTGTGTGGGCTGTGATATTGCCCGGGTGCCCAAACCGAAGCGGGTTGTTTCCTTAGGGAGCCACACCTGGAGCCTTCGACCTAAAGGTCTGATCCACAAGGCAGTGGAACAAAGTAAGGAGATGCAGTGTCATGGTAGCAGGTGACCAACAATTGGTTCATACGCCATTTGATCCTTCAGAATACTGGAGCCCATATACACAACTGGTTTGAAATCAGGGTTTTCCAATATCCTCTAAATGGATCCTTTGTATCCACCAACTCGGTTAAAGCGTTGGACATTAGGTTTTCGTCCTCTCGATTCGGTAAACAACACCCCTGCCGCGAGAAGGCAGTGAGTAAGACTTCCCTCACAGTGGTTGTATAAGCGTGGTCATATGAGAGCATTTCGAGAGAGAGTTGACTCTCTCCATTCTCAGCTGTACCAGGGTATTTAGGGGCTACTTCATAATTCATGTGATGAGATAATCCAAAAATAATAATTAGTAACAGCAGTTACTATCTAATAATTCAAAAGAAACTAATAGTAATTAAAAAGACGATAAACTCTTTGTATTGAAATTAAAAGTGTTTATTTCAAAATAAATAATGAAAGTACTTGCAAAACACCAATAATAATAATAATTGTAATCATGTACATTTGAAATTCTCATAAAGAATAAAAATAAACAAATAATTAGTAGATTGATAAAAGTATCAATAAAAGAATCGGTTGGTAAAACAAATCAATCAGTCAACCAATCAATAAATAAACTATACGTAACACACAACCAAACTAAAAAATTTTCAATTTAATATAATAATTTAAAAAATTATGAAGTCATTAACCCTTTTATTTATTGAAATTATTAGATATTGAATATTGTAAAACAAGTATAATTTCATTTAAATAATAGAATGATTTGGAAAAATCACCTTCACATAAATATGGTAAACGTGTCCAACGTAAAACATGATAATTAGCTGGTATAAGAATATTATTGATTAAACTAGATAATTGTATTTCCCATAATTCACTATCAATTATTTCAAGTACTTCAATAGGACGTTGATCATGAGTCGCTTTAAAAAAGGTGATTTTACATATTTTTTTGTTTAAACAAAAAAAGAAGAAAACATTTGAATGTAAATGAGGAAAAAAGTATTTTTTTTAAAACTGAATTTTATTTACAAAATAATGATTAAGTGAGAGGAAATAAGCCTTACTTACCATCAATAAGTTAATAAGATAAATCAGTATTTTTTTTTGTATAATATTGATGTGTGGGCGAGAGTGATAATGATTGGTTGCCTGCTTAGTCAGGCATGTAGATAGCCTGACAGGTGTCATATGAGTTACATATTCCCCCATCCTTATTATTATTGTTACTCACTTATTATTGATTGTTCATTGTTGTTGGATTGTGTCGGGTTTTTGGTGTGGAAATATATTTACGTTGTGGTCAGGTTAATCACGTGTTCTTGATCTGAGTTGCGTTGAAGTCCTGTAGAATGGACACTGAGAGGGAATCTAGTGTAGATATTCGTCTAAGGTAAATTAACGTCCCATACGTGTAAATGCGATAAACCAACCGTTATAACATTAGACGAAGTAAAACCGAGGTGAAAAACAAAGGACCAAGGGGTACAAAACAAGTTATAACAAATATACTTCTAGTCAGTTCAGAGATTATGGGTAACTGACTTTGAAACCGTTAACCTCAAGTGACATATATTAGGGTTGGCCAATTTTCACAATTCTATGTATCTTCATCGTAAACATTCCTTTAGACATAATGCTTTTCTTCTTTTAACTTATCACAGATCAATCTTCTACCAATAGATTAATATTCAGCTTGGGGGTTGTGGAGACTGTTGAATTTTATTAAAATCATGAACCAATCAATGTTAGACTAACATTGAATGACCGTTTCGTTCTAGTATGGAACTCCTCCCGAACGCAGGATTCGAACCCAGGACCTTTGGTCTGACACGAAAACGCTTAACCTCCAAATCCCTGAGTTAGCATCCAGCGCTTCCAGGTTATGAATGCTGGTCTAACATTGATTGGTTCATGATTTCAATAAAATGGATTAATTTGTTGACTTTAAATAAGCAGATGACATTGTTCGGTTTGGCGAAAACTAACAAAATGAAGTCCTCTAATTACACTGGGAAACGATGCAAACATGTTTGGAATGCATCCCTCCCTATCCCTTTCTACATACAGCCATCAATAAACAAACGGAATCAAAACCAAGGATTTCAGGTCTAGGGATGAAAACAATACTTTCAGATTATCGTAATCAATGGTTAGGGATTTCGAACGATATGGTTTGAAATCTTTCCCAATGACCTAGGTGCACTCACTCTTTGTCCTTACTTAGATTCTAAGTTTTTAAATTCCCCATAACTTTTTGATTGCTGCACCAATTTATATTTCATTTGCGAACTGTATCATGGATGTTTAAGTTTTTTCTATTACCATTGTTATTGTTCCTAGCTCTACTACTCTGGGATTTACCCTGACTGTTTCTTCCCTCTTCATCAATGGGATAATGTAAACGTGAACCGATTTACACATGTACCAGGTTATACCTTGGATGTGACTGACTAAACGAGATTACTGAGTCGAGATTCGATGATAAGCAACTCCAAATTCAGTCGAAATCACAGAAAAAGACTCCTTGTAGTAGGAATAATTCTGAGTAACACAATCTCTCTAGACAAGAACAATGTTTCAGTTATTGTGGTCGTGAACTTACACCGATTGAATTTCCCCGGTTAAGTATTAAGTATGGTAACTTTTCATCAAGACGTGTAATACTGATTGAAGAAGGATGAGGTATTAAAAATTTAAGTGTAGTTTAACCAAGACATAAAAGCTGATGTATTTACTATCACTCTGATTAAGATATGTAGAGATGCATGGATTTTTGGGATGAAATCTCCAGGATAATGGAAAATACTTGTCGGTAGATAGATTAGATGATGCAGTCTAAAACTGACCAGATTGAATTAATTGCAATCAATATGTATCGTTTTTAAGAATTAAATAATTTACAAGTTTACTGGAATTGTCTCAGGTTATATTATTTTTATTAGTAAATGATGGCTTTATGTGCAAGGATAATCGTGATAATATTTTTCTAATTGATATTCCGCAATGATCTTTGCTGACATTTCATTGGCTATTTTTCCACTTAATTTGCTAATATTACTGTTCCAAGATCATGGATAGTTATAATTTATACGGAGCCGTTCTATCTCAAATTTAATTTCTTGAAAATCAAGCTTTTTATAAGTACCTGTATCCTTTCTTCGTTCCATGGAGTTGATGATAATTTCCGAAGTGTTGTAGGTCAGTTACCGGTCTATCGAGTTCGCATTAGATACTATTAGTATTAGAAAAATCCCGAGCGTTCGTAATTAGAAAATACCGTTGGCCGATCACGAAAATAAACTAAGATACTATCTATTTTAATTTCATTTCAAAAGTTTTGCATCTCGTTTGTTTTTGTTTAGCACACTACTGTAAATTGTGATACCCCAAACTAGTTTCATTTTGTAAGGTTTTATACTTATATCTATCTGTTTTAGCCGTAAAACAGAGTCGAACGTACTTCTTGGCTGAGTTTTAAACTGATTAAACAAAACCGATATTTTACGAGTCACCAGTGACATAAATTTGGAAATCCCTAGTAGCCACCATCAGCGTTCTATTTGCAATAAACTTATTTATGTTACTGAACAATTCGACATGCTCCACTAAAATACTCATTAATTCTAAAATTTGGGATCTGTGTACATGAGTTTTGAAATAATGTCAAATAGTTCGAAGGTTGGAAACTTCCAAACATTCTATAGTTTTTTTTACCTGAATCGTTTGAAGGACCCTACAGGTTTCAGTTTTTATCTAATAAATACATGTCACCTCTATTTTGAATGTCGACCAGATCAATGTATTAGAAACTGATTACTATAAAGTTAAACTTAAGTGTTAGCGTCAAAATAAATTGTTGATGAAAATAACTCATTATAATGAGGTAGAATAATAAATCAGCTTAATCTGTTACGAAATTAAGAGAAGAATTTAATGTCAACCAAAATTACAAATTCACTTTCAACATATTGTTTCAATGGTAAAACTATTCCAAGAATTGAAATTCCCGTCGTAGGTTTCAAAGCTTGATTAATTCGTTTCAATAAGTTAATTGGAGCTGTACAACGATCTAACAAATTTAAACAACTAATAACATCAAAATAAGATGGAACTTTGGGTGTATTCAATTCTTTATTCATTAATTCCCAAGAATCAACGTCTAATATTCTGTTAACAAAACAAAGCAATATAAGGGATTAAATAAATTGAAGTAAATCTTCATAATGTATCAAATTTATCTTGATCAAAATAAATTTCATGTGACAACCAAAATTAAGTGAAATACTGTTTGTTCAAAAGATTCTCATAATCGTTTAGTAAAAGATAATTTGAAATCACTACCTAAAAATGATAAAATATAATCAGTCAACTTACGTAAAGCCATGTTTACGTAAACGCCAACGCATAACTGGGGAAATTTCTGTGACGAATATATCTTTAAAGTAAGGAGCCATTTTCAATGTCACATTGCCGTCATCGGCACCTGTATTTCAGAAAAAATGTTTAACACGATCATGAATTATTTTTTAATATTGAAATATTGATAGTACAATTTGTAAACCATTCCACAAACCTTTTTATGTTTCTTTTATCAATAAATAGTTGACTCAACAGCTTAATAGTTCCACTCTCACCGAAATAACTAAAGCTATCGGGTTAAATTCTTTAACTGGTTGTGATTATCTGCTGACGTAAATTCATGATTCAAAATAAAAAAATCTCGTCTTATTCGTGTAAAGAAATACTGCTGTAATGGATAATAGTTGTTATTATTATTATCATAATAAATAGATGTCAAGGACGTGATCATACCATCTCTAGAACCCCAACCAGGGGGTCGTGAAAGACCAGAAGAAGTCGGTCCTGACCACCTCTCTGTTTTTTCCAACCATTTCCAGAGTCAGTTAATAATACACGACGTGGATTTCTCTGGGACGACATTTGAAGAACATGTCCAAGCCACCGAAGTTGATGTTTAAAGATAGTGATACTAATTGAATCGTTGTCACTGTGCCCGAACACACGATGCCGAATTTCTGCATTGCTAACAGGGTGTTGCCACTGGATGTCATCAATCCTTCAGAGACAACGATGACCAAACACAGAGTCGTCTAACATCCTCAACTCGGAAAGGCCAGGTTTCACAAGTATAGAGCGAAACTGATCTCACCGACGTTAACAATTAAGAGATTAATATTGAGGTGGATGTGTACTACCCATACGTGCAAAAATAATTGATGATAAAATGCTTCAACTCGTTTTCTTTTACCACAAAGTGTATTAACACATGAACCGAAATAAGTTACAATATTTTCTATTATGACAGTTGCTAGGAAAATTATTACGATTTTACACTGACTACCCAGAGTAAGAAATATCGACATTTAAAGTACCCACCCAATATCATTTTAACTATCCTGATCACAAATAACTTAAACGTTGGGAATTGTTGGGAAACAAAATTAATCATTAGATAGAATTCTTTTAAGTCAATGAAAGAAATATTTGATTTTATATTAATTTTATGTGGCTAACTTAATATTTACACGTTCATATACGTAGCTTTCAACTAGATCGCATATATGAGGGCAAGCAATATTATCCAGCTGTTCAAACTGAAGTAGATGAAGTAACGTTCGACTTCACGATTTATTGGTTGAAAATCTAGTGATTTGGTAATTAAGTCGCCACCTGACAGGAATATTAACAAGCATATATATATATCAGAAATGCTATCATTTTCATCTAATTTTTTGTTATTATGGTTTCCAATAAATGCAATGAGTCACAAAATTTGGTTACTTGAATAATTGGGAAGAATAGTTAATTCATAAGTGGGGATTGATTTTAAATTAAAACGGAAGTAATTAATTCTTTGGTTCAATCAACTGCTTTATTTAATGACTGTAATATTTTTTAAACTCAAATGAATCTGTTTAATCGGTTTATGTTCTTCAAGCAGAGTTTGATGCCAAAAATTTCGTTAGAATTTTGGAAAATATCATGAACATAAATTTAAAACAAGAGAAAATTTTAAAATTATCTCCTTTTTGCAGTAAGATTGTAAGGTACTTTACAATTCCATATTGAAGACATATCTTTATCTAACTGACTTAATGGGATTATTGTATTAGAGGTGTTTTCAGATGTTAAAATTTCCTGTCCAACTGTCCTTTGTTAAAATGATCTTTTTTCCTATGGATCCATTTTATGCACTTTGTAAGTATACGGATAATTTATACTTTACAGGTACTTATGCTAGGATTTTCGGTACAACATACAGGTACACAATGTATACTTGTCAGCATGATGCAAACCAGCCCTCAGTTTTATATATACATATCAATCAATTATCTACCTACCTAAGTCGAGTAAAGAATTCGACTTGAAGCTATCGTTAACATCAAGTAAGCGAAGAAATTGTGCTGATGAGAAAACAAACATAGAACCACGACCAACTAAACTTGAAAAATACAAAATGGACAGAATTAAAAAACGGTTTAAACGTGCAGGTTTACGGATAGATATTTGGTGCAAAATAAGAGAAAATATACCGACTAACAAGAGTAAAACGATGCACAAGAATTAGGTCCAACAATCAAGTCTTAATTGGTTGGGAAGTGGATAACCTACAAGCTGATTTTCTTCAGCCCCTTATAAGATTTTACCATGTTAATTTTTTACAAGTACTGCATTCTGTTACATAAAATTTATTTTTCTGGGTAGTGCTTTTGTCTTTTGTTATGAACGGGGAATTAAGAAGCCCAGACAGTCACGAAAGCTATTTTCTTGGGACGTTATTGGATTTCATTCAAACCTTGTAAAACACTTATATTTATTTTTGTCCCTATCTTATTCTACATAACACGAGCTTTCGTTCTATGTATCATTCACTAGCATACTCCTTTTTGTTCCGAAAATATTGTAATTTAAACATAATATTTTGCACTGTATTTTCTACTCTAATTCCCTGTTTCGGGCATAACTGTATTTTTCCAAATTATTGTACGTCGTAGTCAAGATATTCACTTATTTATTCATGTACATTTTTGTATTAATCCGAATTCAGAGTTCAGTGTTCCAACTGTCTTGTCTTCTCTCACTTGCGGGCTTGCCAACCAATCAGGTTCTAGAATAGTTATCTCTCTACCCCATCTCGAACTCACGCGCGATAGTTTCAAGGTTAAGCCGCTCACCCTATCGCGTCAAGGTCATAGTTAAATCTAGACAGATCAAAGTGAAGTCATAACAAGTATCACGGGGTAAAAAGCGATTCAAGGTCATAACAACTGGCGACGGGGATGGGATCACGAAGTTTTTGGCAGTACAATAAATCAACAATCTTTATCTCAGCCAACTGAAATATCTGTTCTAGATGATGCCAAAGAGTCTGAGGTTTCACAAACTGCATCATCACTATCCATTCCCGACATAAACCTTGGTGTAGAAGTAAACGCGAGCACAAAACAAAGTAAACATCCTAATAACAAAGTAAGAAGAAACAAAACCAAAGTCTCTTGTGACAAACAAGAACCTTCGATGTTATGTCCATCAGTTGTTGATTCTTCGAATGTATCTTTAGGTCAAACTACCTATGATAACATAGGCGGGGAAGTCACTGCGTCTATAGAATCAAAATTACATGTGATACCTAAACGTAGATCAAAGCAGCAGACTAAAAATAAGGTTTATGCTAATACTTCTGAAGATAAAAAGATGTTGGTAGAACAGTACAATTCTTCTTTAACAAATAATAACTCTAATGTTCGTTTAAAAATCATTCTTTCGAAACCGAAATTGAAAAGTAAGCTCAATTGTGCTGAAGTTCTGAACAATAATGCACAAAATTCTTTTGAAAATGAAGTTAACATTTCTTCTTCATTACCGAATCTAGATGTTCCAATTACTGATGACAAAATACATCAAATTGTTGAAAATTCATCAAACGAAGACACAGAAAGTCCATTTACTTCAGAGATTATTCCTGAATCAAATATATCAACTACCGATTCACAAGACTTTGATAAAACATTTAGTGCTACACATTCAGAACTCCTAACTCAATTCCCACATGTGTTTCCGGATCTCAAAGTTTCAGATATTCTATCCGACACAGTCGATATACCTACATTTTCTGAGGATGAATCTGAAGAAGATGCTGGTCGTTTGATTATTGATCCTGATGTAATGGCTTCAGTCAACGTTCCCTTATCAACTGGTAATCATCATTACATCACCGAGACTTTAAAACAGGATCCGGATGTTCTTCGAGAAGATTTATAGTCTTTCCTCCGATAATATGTCCTACAACCATGAACTATCATCTCAAGCATTTGATAGTATTCATCCATACTCTCGAACGTCTTCAACTACTCTTACACAGCCATCGATGTCGAATTTTGGTAATCCAGTTTACTCATCATCCGATTCATTTACACATTCTTTTAATCCCTCAACTTATTCAATGGAATGTCTAATATCTCAACCAGTTTCAGTTTATCCAACACATAATCAGTCATTGATCCAAACTGTTGTGCCAAGATTAACAACTCCTCCTATTTTGGCGTCATCTACTGTATCGAACCTATCAGTACCCAGTAGAAGTGCTTATTTTCAACCTAACCATCTTAATGTTCCATCAACTACAACGCATAATGTGTCCTATGTTACTACTGAATACTCAACATTATAACCATACATCTCATCAACTGACATCACCTAATAATTAAAATGGAATCTACGATTCACTTCTAGCTGTTACTTGAAATGATTCAGTACAAATCATTGTAAAAATATCGTTGTAATTTTCATCATAGATTTATGTGCTTAACTAGTATTTCCAAATATTATTTCCTTTTTACTGTATATCTCCCTTTCAAAATCTCTTCAGTATGAGTTAATTATTTTTTCTTTTAACATTTGGATTTAATTAGTCCCTCCCTGTGATGATGATTTTGGCTTTTAACATTAGTCAGCACCGATTTTTTTCTCTTACTATTATTATTTCTTTGGAACAAAAAGGAGTATGCTAGTGAATGATACATAGAACGAAAGCTCGTGTTATGTAGAATAAGATAGGGACAAAAATAAATATAAGTGTTTTACAGGGTTTGAATGAAATGCAATAACGTCCCAAGAAAATAGCTTTCGTGATTGTCTGGGCTTCTTAATTCCCCGTTCATAACATCTTTTATTCTCAATTTTTCGGGGGCTTGCATCGAAACAGCCTAGTGAGCGGCTATCACAACCAAATCTTAACCTTGCGTATCACTTGTTGACCAGAATCCTTTTTGTTCATTCTAACGATTGAAATTCGCTGACCAAATTACTAAAAGCCTCTCCAGTATCAAGAAAACTAGTATGTTTTCAATATACTCAGGATTTCGAAAACTAGCCAGAACAACGTAAATTATATTAAAAATGAAAATGATAGCAACTATCTATGATGAAGGAATGACGAAACTGTAATCTCCCAATGAATCAAAAATTGGAATTCTGAAGTCCTACTTCTTTGATTAATAAATATATGTTCCGAATTGACACAAGTCGTTTTATGGTAAATATAATTACAGATACGATTCTCGAGGCGTTATACTAGTGAATGCCTCCAAAATTATGTGACGAGTAATGAAATTATCTTTCATTAGTAATTTAGAGCACTAAAAATACAATACAACCATACTAGTATTTTATCATTGGATGTTGATTAGAAAGATATTTCTCACAATACAATAATTACTTTTTTTATTCAAAAAACATTTCATTGACTAATTCTGATAGCATACGAATTCAAAATGTTAATATTCTAAACTCGTTCAACCTAATAATAGATAAACCCAATCATCACAAAGCAGTTAGCGATTCGAGATTTCACAGAAACTGTAAACAAAGTTGCTATTAAAGATATTGATGAGAAGGACAAACTAAAGATAAATGAATGTTAGAAAAATCCAAATTAATATCGAAGCATATTACAATTGTTTATAGTTTCGAACACTGATTAACTACAGGTACCGAACTTAAAAAAGAATAAATAGATTAACATTATTTCTATCCGATACTTGAAGGATATCACAATCAATAAAAACAGCATAGCTGTTCAATTGAAGATGATGGGGCTTCCAAATGTGAATAATAAAACACCGATAATACTGAAATAAATGTAGGATTTTAAATTCAATCACTACTCATAGGGTGTCACGAGTAGAAATGACAGACTGAAGCATTTTTGGTAGTTGCGTTATTACATTTTGAATTATTTAATACAGGCATATGTAAGTGAATTTTAGCAGTCAACTTATAGAAAACTTAATGTTATCTAATACATTCTACACAAAATGCCAAGTTGATAGAATTTCAGCTCTTAAAATTAGTTTTAGGCGTGCAATTTTTCGATCATTCGATTCAAAGACAGAATTTAATTGCATAAAAGCTATTTATTCAGTCTTTTTATGGTCCTAGTATTTTCACTCACCATCTGGTTATAGTAATAATAATCTGCACGATTCTCGAACGACGATCATTATCATTACGACCATTACCATCGTACCACAACTCATGTTTGAACTTCAATTTAGTTAACTAGTAATAATTGATTTTATGCATATCAACTGGATAATTCCGAATAATAATCGAATTACTTTGTGTACGTAGTAGTGAAACCACAACATTAAGCTATGGGTGTCCTGTGCCATTTTCGTCTAGTAATATCTTACTGCGTGATGTCAGTTCATGATGGAGATCGCACTATAATGTCAATTTTAATTGTAGAATCTGATTACATATTCGCAAAAAATACCTTTGCAAGTGAAATTTTCATATTTTTATTTTACATAAAAAATATAGATAAGAGTAAAGGGCCAAAATCAATTAACCATTTATAGAAGTTGAAGTCATGAACCAAGTTCAAACAGCTTTAGCAATAGCATGATAAAAGTGTGTAAATAACCAGTCAGATTTGACATAGCAATTATTTAAAAATTCGCAAGTTTCTTCATCTTGTTTTGATTTAATAAACTTATCCCGAAGTTCAAAATCTACATATTCAGCGCGATAATCATACCACTACATTGATAAGATTGAAAATATCATAAAAAGTATATTATGAAAATAATTGAACATAACTACATGGTCATGATTTGAGTTCGAATGTTTATTTTGATGATCCAACTTTTCATACATTAATCTTATCAGAGGACTTCGAATATATTCACTCATTGATTGAATTAAAGCTAAAACTTCATAACAAAAATGGACGATATAGTCAGCAAAAGAACAAATATAAAATGGGTAATCACGTAAAACAGGGAGGAGTCAAACGTCAAACATAACTGAAATAAAATACGACCAAGTCATTATTAAAAACAATATGAACATTTATGCAACGAGAACACATCAGTTTAGCCTTCAAAGACTTGCAACAAAAATTCAAATCGAAAGCAGTTATGGATAGTCAACTAATCAAACAACAATACCGGTATTAGAATATCGCAATGGGTTCTAGTTCCTGTGAGAACAGCAATACCAGACTATGGCCAATGCATACTCAACTGATGGGCTATGAATAGAACCAGACCCTCATCTTAGATTTGAATTTTATTATGTACTGGTCTAAATAATTTAAAATTGGATTTTACTAAAACTTCTGGAGTTCAATATGAATAACAATGAATTCTTTACCACCATTTGGTAGCTGGTAATCAAAATATCTTGACTGGATGTTTCGTATCAACAGATTAACCTTGGTTAAATGGTTTAATTGTGGTTCTATCTCTTGAAGCCTATCAAGTCGGGATTCAATGACCAGTTTCACGAACAACTATTAAGTAGGATAACAAGGTCAAGTGACTATTCAAATGACATCCAACACGGAAACTTATCACTTGATAATTTTATTGTAAATTCTGCGGTGTAAAGGCTATAGAGCAGTGTGAGGCACAAATTACTTGGAATTTAGTCATACTATATAACAGTCGATTGTATAACACAGTATCACACTAAATAGTTTATATATCAAATTAAACCATAGACTTCAAGTGCATCTTACTTAAGAGTGTTGGAAATGCTCATCATTTTCTACTTCGTTAAAGTTTAAAAATATTTTGATGTTTCTGAAGAGGAACTTAATAACTACCGAATGTAAGATGTTTTGTATTAGGTCTTTATCAACACTTATGAACTATAATTTATGGATGACCTTCAAGCGATTCTATGATGATCGTGCATACCACGACATTTGAGAATAAAGAGAAAAGTCGTAAGTCGAAGGCTAACTGTGCGACAGTATTAGTTTACCTTATTTTACAAGGCATGAAATGCTGACTAGTGTTGGAGACGGCTAGAAGTTAGGGGCGGCTAAAACAAAACGTGGCATCAGTGCTTGAAGTCACTAACTTCTAGTCTGAACCATGTTGGTAGATGCAGACTACTTGGTTGAGGTCCGCGTGATTATCGTAACCGATGGTTGGAGACTGTGGGTGACATGGCTCAGAATCGATCACAGTGGCGTAGGTGTATACTTTTTGTCTTTCTCTAAATCGTGAGATTAAAAACACCTTATACCTCTCTTTCTACGAAATAATTCTTTCTCACTTTATTATATCTTTATATGGAACCTCTTTTTATTACCACTCAATCAACTTCTCTTATGAATTTCGTGTTCATCTTGTTGCGCTAATGAGGTATGGCAATTCGGACGGATGCATATCCGTGCCTGGTCCTATGTTATAGATAACTGACTGACTACAACAAAAATTTTCAAATGCAACAAATAGAAGGGTAGCTGAAAAATGGCATCACAAAAGTGCTATACATTTTTATATATTACCAAGAGCCATAAATATTGTTCATTAATATAACCTATATTAAATTACACTGGTTTCGCTAGTTACTTTAGCTCTGTAATCCCCAGATCTTGGGGAGATTCTGGGGAATTTTCCGGTTTTCTCTCGAGTTATATGAAAATTCGTAGTTTTCCTCTTAGTCTGAGAAAATATTAGGGAAGATCACATACCAGGAGAAATTTAAGGGCTTTGGTGGATTTCCTCAACAACTTTCTGTTTCAGTTTCCGGCTCCTAAGAATCGTCTGTTGCACACACAACGAGGGTGTGTGAAAGTTTCCCGTCAAACTGAGTGTACGATTCTTAGAAGAAAGGCGTCAATATGGTTTCACTTTATCTACCTTATCTAAGTTGTCCTATCTTGCCAACTTTTGTAATAATCATTCAGCGAACGCAAACGATATGCATTACCATAGCAAAAAGACTGATGCGTCATAAATATTGTATGTTAAAATTAACGACATGTCGTCGACATAGATGCATATATGTTGTAAGTCTTAAACAACAACATCAACAATAAATTCCTGTTCAAGAAACTGAGCAACACCGACTTAAGTGCTCTGCCCTTGCATTTTCCCAAACTTTGATGAAAAATACGAATTTCTATATGACTCTGTGGAAAACCCCAAAATCAGGAGATATATTAATTGTTCATAAAAGTAAAAAACCTTAAGACAATAGCAAGTTAAGTGTAACTTTCAACATAGATACATATATATATTGTGAGTATATGTAGCGTAAAATAGGTAAATAATACTGAATCCTACATTTTTAAACCGAAACAAACCGTTACATATGCAACAGTTACGTAAGTCGCGAACTTGGCGCAATCTGAGAAAATGTCTTTGCGATAAACTTTTGAGACGCTGATAATTTATTTAAGTCTAGTTATCGATGTGATGGAGTGGCCTAAGTATTCAAGCAGTAACCAAAAGAGTTATTACAGGTATTGTATGACCACTTAGATTTCAAACCCAATATATAAGTCACGCTCGTGTTTTGATATTTTGAATATCGCAAATCCTGTGATAGTTCCCAAACACTGGGTACTAGTTTTGAATATCCCATTAGGTTTGGCATATACTAAGAGTTGGTGGACTTAAATAGGCTCATTAATTCTACAACATTCAATATCTTTTGTATGAACGCCGAGTAATTGTGTAAGTCACTAGCTAGCATCGAAATCGTGAGTGAAGAAAAAGGTAATTGCAACTGAAAAACCCATTGTAACTACCAGTTACCACATATTATATCAATCTTGGGGAAATCTGTAGACCCGAAAAATGGACACGGTTTCAAATAATATTTAACATCACCCTAGAAAGAGATCATGAAGGACTAGCCAGGAAATTACAAGCACTAAAACCAGTAGGGTTTGCTCTAATGCGTCAGGATCGGACGATAATTAGGTTCCGGATATACACTTATAACAGGACTAAGAATGCCATGGATATTCAAGGATTGGTAACGTTACCATCCATATCTCATTTGTAAGCGAGAATCCTAAATCCGATCAAAGTAGGAATTAGGTGTGGATGATTTCAAAGATACATTTGAAAGGTGTTATAAATTAGATTCGTAAAACGCTTGCTGCAAACCATGACCTTGAGGAGACGCGTACGTCAAGTTTGTTCCACACGTAAGAATTTCCATAGCTGCGCCCTCCAAGCAAGATTCTGAAGAAAAAAAGAGAAACAGAAGAGCAGCAAGCCACTTGGATATGAACGCCAAACGTTGCTTAACATTGTCTAGTAGAACAGACAGAGGTATAATAAATTAAAAATAATTCATATTATCTCTTGGTAGAGTGAAATGAAGTCAGAGGCTCCATATTAGAGAATGTACTAATAAAGAACAACGAGTTGTGACGTTTAACAAGTTGGAGTAAGCTCACATGAAGGAAGGGAAGTCAAGGTCGTTACAAGGAAAACGGTTTATTGGAAGGGAGTGCGCATATAGAGGGTGAAGTGTTATTAATACTAATGACCATATCTTTTATTGTGTATATTTTCTTCCTTTTCTTTTTTTCTCTGTCCGATGCCAGCCACACAATCCTGGTGTAAAAATCCGAGTTAGCATGTTATAGGTTGTCTTAATAGAATAGCTAATCCAGCATAATATTGGAAACATGAGTTTGAGTGGTGAGCGTAGGAAAACAATCTATATCACAGATTGACTGACTTATCCTCAATCATGAGGAGCCTGATACATACAAAATGTTCTGTCCCCACAAACACGGGTTGATTGAAGTTATCGCCCTCACCATCAATGCTTGCTGGTCAGTTACTCCACCCTCCCTCGTTTTGTGATGTTAGGCTCATTTATACTTGTTTTTGGATATGTGTAACACCTCACACAATCCTCTGTTTCACATCCTGTTGAAAAACACTATTTCTATAAGTACCACTTTACAACCTTATCAGCAGTTGCAAGTTATGGTCTGTGGGTAAGGCATCGATGGAGTGCTTTAATTGACTATAGTATAAAGTATAGTTTGCCAATTAGAGTATAAGCATTAAGAAGGGTATAATGCAGGATAGTTGTTTATTTAAGCAGGCGGGAAAGTATAGAAGTATATGGATTGTAGATAAGGGGACGAGTGGAGAAATAATATTAATTGCTAGTCAACATGATGTACAGAAGAGTAAAAAGCTAATAAAGACTAAACAGGAAGAAGCTCACATTAACTTGGTGCTGATGTTATTTTGTGTTGTCCTAACCAGTTGATGAGTAACAGGCTCCATAGATGCAAGACCACTGGTAGTAGGCAGTCGATTGTGCGGTCCTCTTGACTTTCTGAGAGTGGTAGTGAATGTCCCTTATCGACTGAGTTTAGTTTAACAGTATCAATAGGTCCAGTGAAATACCTGTCTACTTCAAGTGAAGAAATAGGGTGGAAAAGTAACTAATACAACTACAAAGTAGGAAAAATAAGGAGAACTGAACTTAATGTCTATTTTGATTTAGACATAGAGAGAGCCTATGATGTCTGAGTGGGGCGCAGATGTGTTTGTACGCGCAACATCAGTGCAAGTGAGGGCTTGGTCGAGCAGTTTTACAAACGTATGTAATTCATCTGCCATGCGAGTTCCGGAGGAAAGATTGTTCCACATTATTGCATACTTGGTGAGAAAGAAGTTTTTCCGAGATTTTGATCAGTTTTTTTCAACTTTGATGGTAGATACTTTGTTTCGAAGTTCGTATTCATGTGAATCTTGGGCAAGAATTATCTTACATGTTGAATAGGTAAAGTTTTTGAGTAGTTTGAAGTAGCGAGTCAAAGGCAAGACTCTAACTTGTGAACGACTTTTGAACAAATCTTAAGTGACCTTGAGAAACAC